TACAGAGCCATGGGGGGCAATGAGGGGAGGGGGCCCTGCCACATAGGGAGCCATAGAGATAAATGGGGAGTGGGGGCCCTGCCACATAGAGAGCCATGGGGATCAATGGGGACAGGGGGCTGCTGCCAAATACGGAGCCATGGGGGTCAATGGGGACAGGGGGCTGCTGCCAAATACGGAGCCATGGGGGGGGGTCAGTTCCTGGGCTGCCCTGTTGCCCCATTCGGCCCTTTGGGGTGGGATGGGGGGCGGATCCGGCTGTTTTTTGGGGCAATTCCCGCAGGTTTTGGGGTTGCTCGGGGTTCTGGGGGGGTTGGGCAGGGCTTTCCTGGGGTTTTGAGGCTGAATCCCGGGATTTGGGGTGGAACCCCCCTGGTTTGGGGGCGGATTCCTGGGACTTTGGGGTGGATCCCTTGAGGTTTTGGGGCAGATTCCCAGGATTTTGGGGCAGATTTTCGGTGTTTGGGGCTGAATCTCACGGTTTGGGGCCAATCCCCAGAATTTTGGTTCAGGTCCCATGGGTTTGGGGCAGATTCCTGGAGTTTTGGGGCACATCCCTGGGCTTTTGGGCTGAATCCCGGGGGTTTGGGGTTCGATTCCTGGGATTTGGGGGTAAATCCTGTGGGTTTGGGGGTGGCTCTCACATTTTGGGACATATCCTATTTCTTTTGGTCTGAATCCCACACTTTGGGGCAGATCCCCAGGGTTTTGGGTCCCGTTTCCGGTGTTTTGGGGTGTCTCCCCATGATTTGGGGGTAAATGCTCCCATTTGGGGGTAAACACCCCTATTTGGGGTGGGTTCTGGGTCCCATCCCCGCAGTTTTGGGTCATATTCCCATAGTTTTGGGTCATATCCCTGTAGTTTTGGGTCTGGGTCCGGCCGCGTCCCTGTAGTTTCGGGCTGTAGTTTTTCCTTCGTCCGGGGGTACCTCCGGGTGACTCCGCTCCGCCTGTTGCGCCGCCCCCGCCCGCAGCCCAGGACTACGAACAGGCGGTGCGGCTGTACAGCGAGGCCATCGCGCTGTGTCCCGGCAACGCGGTGTACTACGGCAACCGGAGCCTGGCGCACCTGCGCACCGAGAGCTACGGCTAC